CTCTTTACTCTCTCCTCTCTCTCTTTACTCTCTCCTCTCTCTCTCTCTCACTCTCTCTCTCTCACTCTCTCCCTCTCTCTTTACTCTCTCCTCTCTCTCTTTACTCTCTCCTCTCTCTCTCTCTCTCTCTCACTCTCTCTCTCTCACTCTCTCCCTCTCTCTTTACTCTCTCCTCTCTCTTCTCTCTCCCTCTCTCTTTACTCTCTCTCTCTTCTCTCTCTCTCACTCTTTCTCTCTCCCTCTCTCTTTACTCTCTCCTCTCTCTCTTTCTTCCTCACGTTATCTTCTCATTGACCTTTCTGAGACTCACGTGGAACTGCCTTTGCACTTCCTTGGTTTTGCTGTAACTCATGCCTCTCTTCTCACACTACTTATTGACATCCTGACAGCATTTTAGGTATCCACCTAGGTAGCCCACTAACATCTCAGATGCAGAATCTGTGCACTCTCATTCTTCATTTTCTGTGGAGGAAGCCCATCACTTTCCTAACCTTCTGTGTTCACGGGCATCTCACTGAGAGCTGCCATAGTCACCCTAAGCTACTTCACCCTCTTCTTATCTTTTCTCTTTGAATGAGCCCTCGCTGCCTTATATCCATCCTTCCCTCACCTTTATGCCATGTCTTCCCCAACTCCCTTCAGACCCTCAGCCGTTCATCGCCAGTTTATCTTTATTGCATCATTCTTGAAGGTCTTTGAGATTTGAATAAACTTTACAATAAACATCCATTTCTTTTTTAAAAATTTCTGTGAACTTTATTATAAAAATCCTTGCTTTTATTTTAAATAAAAATTAATTTTAAAACTTGCAAGTAAGAAAAATCACACACCAAAATTAACCAATTAAAAAATAAAGTTTTATATAGTCTACTTCTGCAGACCTGTTCTGTATTAATTATTTTGTACAAAATGTTATTCTGCTTCTAGGCTTGGAGACCTAGTTCACCTTCCTTGACTATGCCATGCCTCTCACCATGCACTTACTAGAGATGCAAGAATGCATTTAAGATCACTGATTCCTTTAAAAGCTAATAATCTATTTCAGAGTATAGTCAACATCATCAATCTTAATAAAGATATGGGAAAATAAAGAAGAAAGGGAAATAAAGGTGCAAAGCAATTGCTGCTTTACACTACCTGGGAGAGGAGAAAATAAAACATGTATATGGCAACATTAAAAATGAGATTGACTTGGAGAGATAAGGATACAAGGGACATAACCTAAATACAATAAAGGCAACATGCAGCGAGCCAATAGCCAACATCAAATTAAATGGAAACACAAAGCAATTCTACTAAAATCAGGAACAATATAAAGCTGTCTACTCATGCAATATCCATTCAACATAGTACTTGAAGTTGTAGCCATAGCAATAAAACAACTAAAGGAGATCAAGGGGATACAAATTGGAAAGGAAGAAGTTAAGGTATCACTAATTGCAGATGGTATGATGTTTACATAAGGGACCTAAATAATTCTACCAGAGAACTCCTATAGCTGATAAACACCTTCAGCGAAGTGGCTGAATACAAGATTTACTAAAAAACAAAATCAGTAGTGCCTCTATATACTAATGATGAATCAAGGAAACAACACTCTTCAAAGTAGCCTCAAATAATATAATATATCTTGGTGTAATTCTAACCAAGCAAGTGAAAGATCTATTTGACAAGAACTTTAAAGTCTTTGAAGTAAGAAATTGAACAAGGTATCAGAAGATGGAAAGATCTCCCATTCTTTTTTATTTTTTTCCATTTTTATTATTTTTAATTACTCATATTTACATATCCATACCCCCATTGCCTCACCCTCTCATCCTCCCATGTTCCTCACCCAACCTACCCCAACCCAACTCCCAACTCCTCCCCAGGGATAGTGAGGCCCTCTACCAAGGACCTTCAAAGTCTGCCATATTGTTTTGGGGAGGGTCTAGGCCCTCCTTACTGTATCCAGGCTGCAATAGTATCCCTCCATAGGGAATGGGCTCCCAAAGTCCATTTGTGCTCTAGGGATAAAGACTGGCTCCACTGTTAGAGGACCCATAGACTGTCTTGGGGTCCCAGCCTCACAGACACTCAGCTGGCTTGGTTTGGGCCAATGCTGTTTCCCCAGCTTTATGACTAGGGTCTCCATTCTATGATTAGGTCATGTCCACTGCTTCTGCAGGTCTCTCCATCCCCGTGTTGGCTCCTTTGCTCAACCCTCCTCCCTCTCCACAACTGAATTCCAGTAGTATGGTTCAGTGCTTAGCTATGGGTGTCTGTTTCTGCTTTGAACAGCAACTGGATGAAGACTCTCCTTCCTCTCCCTGGCCCCAGGCTCCAATTTGGTCAAGGGTTCTTGTCCCCATCCCCTTCTTCAAGGGAGTATGCAATCTTATCTTGGGGTCCTCCATGTTTCCTAGCTCCTCTGGCAGTGTGGAATGTAGGCTAGTGATTCTTTGCTCTATGTGTAAAAATCAAAAATGAGTGAGTACATACCATGTTTATCTTTTGTGATTGGGTTACCTCACTGAGGATGGTTTCATCTAGTTCCATCCATTTGCCTACAAATTTCAAGATTCCATTGTTTTTTTTTTCCCGAGGAGTAGTACTCCATTGAATAAATATACCACATTTTCTGTATCCATTCTTCAGTTGAGGGGCATCTAGGTTGTTTCCAGGTTCTGGCTATTACAAATAATGCTGCTATGAACATGGTTGAGCATATGTCCTTATTGTATGAGTGTGCATTCTTTGGGTATATGACCAAGAGAGGAATTTCTGGATCTTGAGGTAGACTGAGTTCCATTTTCCTGAAAAACCACCATACTGATTTCCAAAGTGGTTACACAAGTTTGCACTCCCACCAGCAATGGAGGAGAGTTCCTCTTTCTCCACATCCTCACCAGCATAGATTGTCATTGGTATTATTGATTTTAGCCATTCTGACAGGAGTAAAATGGTATATCAGAGTGGTTTTGAATTGCATTTCCCTGATGGCTAAGGATGTTGAGCACTTTCTCAAGTGTCTTTCATCCATTTTGGATTCCTCTGTTGAGAATTCTCTATTTAGTTCTGCACTCCATCTTTTAATTTCATTGTTTGGTGTTTTGTGGCTAGCTTCTTAAGTTCATTGTATATTTTGGTGATCAGCCCTCTGTCAGATTTGGAGTTGGTGAATATCTTTTCCCATTCTGTGGGCTGGCGTTTTGTCTTGTTGACTGTGTCCTTTGCTTTATAGAAGCTTCTCAGTTTCAGGAGTTCCCATTAATTAATTGTCAATCTCAATGTTTGAGCTACTGGTGTTATGTTAAGAAAGCAATCTCCTGTACCAATTTCTTCAAGGGTGCCACCTACCTTCTCTTCTAGGAGGTTCAGTGTGGCTGAATTTATTTTGAGGTCTTTGATCCATTTGGACTTAAGTTTAGTGCATGGCGATAGATATGGATAAATCTGCAATCTTCTACATGTCTGAATCCAGTTATGCCAGCACCATTTGTTGAAGATGCTTTCTTTTTTCCATTGTGTAAATTTAGCTGCTTTGTCAAAAATCAGGTGTTCATAAGTGTGTGGGTTATTATCAGGGTTTTCAATTCAATTCCATTGGTCAACCTGTCTATTTTTGTGCCAATACCAAGCTGTTTTCAGGACTATGGCTCTATAATACAGCTTGAAGTCAGGAATGGTCATGCCTCTGGAAGTTTCTTTATTGTACAGGGTTGTTTGGCTATCCTGGGTTTTTTGTTTTTCCATATGAAGTTGAGTGCTGTCCTTTCAAGGTGTGTGAAGAATTGTGTTGGGATTTGATATTGATGGGGATTGTATTGAATCTGTAGATTGCTTTTGGCAAGATTTCCATTTTTACTATGTTGTTCCTACCTATCCAAGAGCATGGGCGTTCGTTCCATTTTCTGGTATATTCTTTAATTTCTTTCTTTAAAGACTCAAAGTTCTTACCATACAGATCTTTCTCGTTTTTTTTGTTGTTGTTGTTGTTGTTTTGTTTTGTTTTGTTTTTTGGTTAGTGTTACCCCAAGATATTTTATGTTGTTAGTTGCTATTGTAAAGGGTGATGTTTCTCTGATTTCCTTCTCAGCACATTTATCTTCTGTATATAGTAGGGCTACTGATTTTTTTTGAGTTAATCTTGTATCCTGCCACTTTGCTGAAGGTGCTGATCAGCTGTAGTAGTTCCCTGGTATGATCTCCCATTCTTATGGATCAGTAGGATTAGCAGTAAAAATGTCCATCTTACCAAAAGCAATCTACAGATTCAACACAATCCCCATCAAAATCCTAACACAGTTCTTTACAGACATAGAAAGAACAAAGTCAACTTCATATGGAAAAACAAAAAACTCAGGATAGAGGAAAACAATCCTGTACAAATTAAAAAACTTCCGGAGTTATCACCATCCTGATTTCAAGCTCTACTACAGAGTTATGGTAATAAAAACCACATGGTATTGGCATAAAGCAGACAGATTGATCAATGGAATCAAATCAAAGACCTAGACATACAGACTTTGAAGGTCCCTGGTGGTGGGCCTCACTAGCCCCTCCTATGACCAGGCAAGACCCCAGTGGAAGGATTGGAATATCAACTCAGCTATGTAACCTTGGACCTACAATTTGTCTTGCCTGTAAGATATGGTGGTATAAAGGTGCCAGAATTGGTGGGAGTGGCCAACCAATGACTAGTACAGATTTAGACCCATGCCACAAGAGGGAGGCCACCTCTGGCACTACCTAGAACACCAGGACCCAGAGACTGGATAACCCAGAAACCTAGGATAGAACCAAACATGACTTGCAAAAAAAAAAAAAAAAAAAAGTCAATGCAATATCCTAATGATGTTCTGCTGTACTCACTGGTGCCCAGGTGTCTTCAGAGGGCTTCATCCAGCAACTGATGGAAACAGGTGCAGAAACCCACAACCAAACATTAGGTGGAACTTGGGGAATCCTGCAAAAGAGGAGGAGGAGGGGGTAAAGGAAACCACAAGAAAACCCACAGAATCAACTAAGCAGGGCCCATAGAGTCTCACGGAGATTGAACCAACAACCATGGAGCCTGCATGGGACTGACATAGGCCCTTTGCATATATGTGACAGTTGGGTAGTTTGGTGTTCTTGAAGGACCCCTAACAATGGGAGCAGGGGCTGTCGCTGGCTCTTTTGCTGGCCTTTGGACTTTATGCCTTGCCCAGCCTTAATACAAGGGGAGGTGCCTCGTCTTACTGCAACTTGATGTGATGCCTGACCTTTTCTGAATAGAGATGGAAGAGTGGATGGGGGCGGGGAGGGTGACTGGGAGGAGAGGAGGGAGGCGAAATTGAAGTTGAGATGTAAAAAACAATAATTTTAAAAATCATTTAAATAAAAAGGAGATTGAAGGAATAAGAAAGGAGCTTTAATTATAAGAGAAAGGGCACTGCAGATGAGAGAATCCCAGGAGGGAGGGTGGTATTAGGGAGAGCCTGAGACTGTGGAGCTGTGTGGAATATTTGATGCTTCCTGTCACAAGAGAATGGTAAATGGATTAGAGGAAAACCATGAGAAGTCCCGTGTACTCTATTAGAAAGCTTGAACTTTTTGTCTTGGGCTATTACAAGATTATATAAACAAGGCAGTGATGAAATCAGAACCATATTTTGGAAAACTATCCTTAGCAGCTGAATGAGAAATGTTTTTCAGCGAATATAAGTAAGGTCAGATCTACCCATTAAAAGATCGATGGAGGTGATCACGGTGACACAACTGAGAGACAGTGACCTCCAGACAGCTGGGACTGTGGTGTGAGACCCTGTCTAAAAGAGAGGAAGGAAGAGAGAGGGAGGGAGGGACAGAGGGCGGAAGGGGAGGGGAGGAGAGGATAGAAGGGGTGAAGGAGGCCGTGAGCTGAAGTGGTGGATGGACGCACACAGAATCTTGTTACAGAAATCCTGCAGCCTCTTCACATGTGGAATGTGAAAAGCAAAGCAGAAAGAGAAATCAAATTATTCTGACATTTCTAGGTTATGTGGCAGATGTGGCGGTACCTTTTCCTGAGTCTGGAAGAAGACTGTGAGGGGGCAAAGGCCACAGTCTGATTATCCACCCTAGGCTAAAGCTTATAAATAGCAGAGCTGGCTTATGTCCACCCTAAGGATGCTTTGGCCAGGGGGCTGGGTGTTGGTGGCGTACACCTTTAATCCCAGCACTCGGGAGGCAGGGGCAGGCAGATCTCTGTGAGTTCGAGGCCAGCCTGGTCTCTAGAGCGAGGGCCAGGATAGACCCCAAAGCTACACAGAGAACCCCTGTCTCAAAAAAAAAAAAAATGCTTTGGCCAGTACTGTGTCACACCCCAAGCCTGAGGAAAGCAGAGCACTGAACCCCACAGCCTGACTTTATTCTTTTATTAGTTCAAATTAGGAACAAGCTTGCTTCTCGAATTTTAAGAGACAGATACCATTCTGTTGTGATGAGGGTGTGGAATGCCACTGGTGGTCTGAGGAAAACACAGTGGTTTTGAATAGTGGCTGGAGGCAGGGGAGACAGTGCCCACTAAAAAGGAAAAGAGATGTGCCTCTCTCTGAGGCACACTGAGGAGGACCCTGGCTTTGATGACACTTGGCCACTGAAGCATGCTTGTGTGACTAGCAGTGGTTACATACTCTGGTGCTCCCACAGATTTGACAGCTTCATGAGGTAGATCCAGTTATTCCCCCATTGTACAGATGAAGAAACCAGAAGGAAGGGATGTGACCAGAAGTGAGGAAAGATAATTCCAACCTGCAGGAAGTAAATTATTTCATATCCTCTAAGGCCTCAAAGATGAAAGATTTGGGGAGAAATATTCTTTATTGTCCTGGTCTGAAGTGAAGCTCTTTTTGACATTTAAACCGTTAAAGAATCACAGAAAATATTGGTCTTAAGCTTTGAAGTGTTCGTGCAGGCTGTAAAAAACCCTCTTCTGCACTCTTACCTTTGAGCCAAAACTCAAATCCCTTTCATATGGGGTTGGTACAGCCTTTGGAACATGTCAAATCTTTCTCTTTTAGGGGCCTCCAGGCACTGAGGGAGAATCTGGCCTGCAAGGTGAACCAGGCGCTAAGGTAACCACCCTAAAGTGCGAGAGAAAAGTCTGTCTCTAACTTGACCCCCACACTTGCCCCAGTTTGACAAATGCCATCTTTTTTTCTTTGGAGAGGGCAAGGTTGAGACAGGGTCTCACAGTATTGTCCTCACTGTCCTGGAACTCACTGTGTAGACCAGGCTGGCCTCAAACTCATAGAGATTCACCATCTGCCTCCCAAGTGCTGCGAGGCATTAATGAAGGTCATCAGAAAAGAAAGTACTTTGGATGATGGCTCTTATGCACTCTGCGATTAGAAGAGCAACTTGAGGAGAAAAGCTTAGTCTGCCCTCTGTCTCTTCAGGGAGATGTTGGACCTACCGGCAGCAGTGGAGCATCTGGGGAGCCAGGGTCACGTGTGAGTAACTGCAATAAACAAACTTAGTGGACTGGTCTACTTGGTTGGGTACGGGGAGGAGACTCAAAATTTAGCAACCTTAGACACATCAAAAAGTAGAGTAATAAGCCTTTCAAATGTACTACAAAATGTTTCATGAAGTTAAAAACTACACACTAAACCCTATTTGCATTCCAAGTTAGGCATTTAGAATCCGAAGTGACTTTTCTTAAAACCAGGTGTGCTCTGATGAGCCTTGCCAAAAATGTGCAGTCAGATGACTACCACCTAGCGTTGCATGAAGAAGAAATTCACAAATCATTGGTCAACACTTCAGGACATTTTCTAACAGATGAAAGACTGAAATGTAATGTTCATTTTAAAAACACTCCAGGGCCATAGGAAGCTAATGAGATGCAAGGAAATGTTTATGAGTAGTTGTAGTTTGATATTTTGAATAAGTTGTGATAATATAGACAGGCTTTAAGCCATGATAAACTTTTTTTTCCAAAGTAACGATATTCTAAATAATTTTAAAAGTCTTTGTTTGCTAACAGATCAAGTAGGAAGAATTATTTTTTGTGCCTGTATTGTTGATTTGCATTTTCCTTTTGGGGGTGAGTAGTAAGAATCAGCTTAATACAGGGGTCACTAATGGGAGTGGTGTACTATTAATTAGTAGTCATTAATTCACTGCAACTTAGTTACAAAGACAGCCACACTGCCTTAACAGCTTCATAAGCTATAGTCTGTGTTTTTGCAAATTTCGTATCTCGAAGGCAGCTTATTGATGTGCCTTGGCCATACTTTTTGCCTCTTTGAAGGGAGAAAACACAGAAACTGAAAGTCTGGTAAAATGATCATGACTGAATGTTGTTATATGAGGCCATGTACGTTCATTACGTCAAGGAACCGAATTTCATGCAATGGCAGTGTTTACAGTCTTTGATGGTCTAGCTATATTAATTTCCAGGCTGCAGATGAATGTGTTACCTTTAATTATCTAAAATGTCTTAGTATTCTAGAAGCACATTGTATCTGGATTAACAACCCTGGCTGTAATTATCTAAAATGTCTTAGTATTCTAGAAGCACATTGTATCTGGATTACCCTGGCTATCTTAGGCACCTCCAGAGCTCTTCCAGGCAAATCAAACCATGCTTATTACACGCTCAGGCCTTCTTTGGGGATAAGGTTGAAACAGAAGGGAACAACGACCAACTAGCCACTTCCTACTTCTTCTAGGAACAAAATGTAAAATAAGATCAGTGAGAGCCAGAAACTTAATCTTGCTTTTTCTGCTACAAAATACGACAGGGTGAACCCGGAGCCCCTGGAGAAGAAGGTCTGCAAGGAAAAGACGGATTGAAGGTAAGTTATAGATATTGAAACAATGTGTCATGTATCCGAGGCTAGCCCCAGCCTCACAATATATCCTGAGGATGACTTAAACTTTGGAACCTCCTGCCACTGCCTCCCAAGTTCTGATATTATAGGTTTTAGTAGATGCTGGAGATCAACCCCAGCCCGGGGCATCAAGTGTGCTATGGGAATACTGTAGCAACTGAGATACATTCCCAGCCCTAAGGTACCATTTTGCAGAGATTCACAGCTAAGCACTGAGCTGAACTCCTGGAATCCAGTTGTAGAGAGGGAGGAGTGATAAGCAAAGGGGTCAAGACAATGCTGGAGAAACCCACAGAAACAGCTGACCTGAGCAAGTGGGAGCCCACAGACCCCAATCTGACAGCTGGGAAACTAGCATAGGACCGAACCAGGCCCCCTGAACATGGATGACAGTTGGGGGGCCTGGACAGTCTATGGGGCCTCTGGCAGTGGAACCAGTATTTATCCCTAGTGCACGAATGGGCTTTGGGAGCCCATTTCCTATGGAGGGATACTCTCCCAACCTAGATAAACTAGGGAGGGCCTAGGTCCTGCCCTAAATG